ACCAAGGCGAGAGAGAGAGAGTCTCCGGTCGTGTCACTTTTTGCCATTAAATTGGCACACCGACCTATAAATATTCATTTTTATTACGTGCACTTTGCATTTATCTGTTTTTATTCTTATTATTATATTTCCCAACGTAACAGAGAGATTGAAAATCTCCTCTGTGAAAAAGCCTTCTCTCGAGATCTGCTATAGATTTGCAAAGTTTCAAAGAAATGGGAATTAGAATCGAGTTACCAAAGTTCATTTGTTAGTTAGGAAAACGATAAATATTAATCGAGGCTTTGTTTTATGCTTGACGTTTCTTGTTAAATATCTTCGATAATTTAAATTTAAATTCTCCTATAAGTCAATTCTTGGTGAACACTATTCAGAGTACATATGGAAGATTACATATTGTCCTTTTCAAAAGGTAGAAAAAATTATGCATTTAGGGTATGTATGTATTACAGTACGTAATGAATTTTAAATCGACGTTATTAATCAATTTATTACTACATAATGTTACGAGTATTTGATAGCCACATTATGAAATGTGTATTGTGAATATACAATAATTTTACATAGTTTCATCACGTCTAAATTACACACTAGTTAAAATTTACTAATTAACTACAGCGATATGACATTGACTGAACACTTATTAAAACGAATATTTTTATAATTATTCGTAACATTAACCTAAGAGGTGAAATTTCTCTCTAAAACTTCTCGCTGCGTGGGACGATCTTCATCCATACAGACTAAAAAAAAGAAAAAAATAGTACAAGTTGTTGAGATTACAGACGTATTGTGTCACATCTAAACACTTTCACGGCGTCGAACGAACCACGCAGCTTCCATAAAACGCGACGAAACGTGGGCGATTCGACGAAGAAAAAAATTTAGGACGTCAACGATAATTCAATTAATAAGTCGATACGTTGTTCGTGATAGCGATGCTTGTTCGGCGCATGATAATTAAATCGTTGGTTTGATCAGTCACACGTTCGACTGTCGAAATCAACATAGATATGGAGAGAAATCGTGAACTACGTCGGCTGTAGATTTTAGAATTTTCGATGTCCTTTCGCCGACATTATACAGATAATAATTAAACTACTAATGACAGGATAAAATTTGAAGAGCGAAACAGAGAAAAACGTCGCAGTTTTACAAGAAATGCAACATCACAGAATTTACAAATCTTACAAATACAAATATTATTTATACTTTGTGTATTTATGCGAAACGTGAGATGCATACAATGTGCAAACATAGAATGATAGTGAAAATTTTCGATTGATAAAACACATTTTTATTTGAGCTCTATTATTATCGATTAAATTTTTACTTCAGTTCTATTATTTTTAATTGAATGTCTATTTAAGTTCTACTACTTCTGCAGAATAATGATTGCAGGATAAAACTCAAATGAAAATGACAAACAATAACAACGCAAAATAATAAATAATACAAATATACTAAAAAAGGCAAACAAAAATTGGCGCCACTTTTAAAGGAGGTCACGGAAAAGGACTTCAACGAATTCTTCGCATTAACTCGTTCTTTTTTTTTCCGAGGGGTGTTGCAATACAGGTGCGTGGGAGTTTTGTGTTATTGACAGATACATATGTGCAGAGGCACGCATGTCATTGTGGCTAGCGTGTGTGTAACGCTGACTAATTGATAGATTTTGTCATCGTTTCCTTCTGTCTGCCTACTGGATGATATCATTGACATGGTAACACATTTCATGCCGAGCGCCACGACAAAGTAGCATGACTCTATTTGCATAGAGTGAACGCATGTGAGAGTACTACATGTAGAGTTTTTCCACGCATCGTACCACTTTCAGTAAGAGAAATTGAAAAGCTTTCTACAAGAAGGATGCTTAGAATGAACTTTTTTTGGAAATTTTAGATCTAGTTTTTTAGCATTAGCTGCATTCGAATTGATAATTATAATTTTGTTGGTTTTATATCTACGAAATAAATAAAAATTTTATAATACAGTAGAACTTAATTATATAAAGATTGTAAAGTTTGTATAATTTGAGTTAATATAATAATAAGTAGATTTTAGCTAGCAAAGATTCATTGATTAAAATTTGGTTTCATTAAATGAAGTTCATGTAAATGAATTTCTATTGTACTAGAAAACTGTTGTTTA